ATTTTGATAAAATGATGTTTGAGAACAACAAAAGCCAAGTTCCGGTAACTGTCAAAAGAGAGGTTGAGCTGATTGGGTGCCATCGGGCTGAAGTCAAGCCGACTGAAAAAGTTGATGATGGTGAAGTGGAACCAGGTATAGTTATAAAGCAGAACAGGAGAAAGACCAGGATTTGAAGCCAATAATTGATTTTCTAAAAGCAAGTGTTTTGCACCCTGTTTGGGAGAAGGTGTCTAGTCTAAGCCCCGTGAAAAGAACTATTGGGCACAATGGGACCAGTTGAAGCTTGAAGATGGTATTCTTCTCTGGAGATGGGAAAGTGACGACCTGGCAAACGGTTATACCGAAAAAGTTACGGGAAGTTGTGCTGCATCAATCCCATGATAGTTTAACAGGAGGACATCTCGGAGTTTAAAAGACATTGAGTCACCTACAACAGAGATTTTACTGGATATGTATGAGGCAAGATGTGGAAGAATGGTGCAGGACATGTTGTGCTAAAAGGGGACCCAAGCATAAAGGACGTAATCCAATGAAGTTATAACAAGTTGGTGCACCAATGGAAAGAGTAGCCGTTGACATTGCTGATCCATTGTCCCGAACTCGTGCTGGAAACAAGTACATTTGTGTGGTGATGGATCATTTCACCAAGTGGCCTGAGGCATATGCAATACGAAATCAGGAAGCTACAACTGTAGCTTCGGTTGTTAGTGCTTTCTTCTTCAGGTTTGGTTTGCCATCCGAATTGCATTCAGATCAAGGTCGTAACTTTGAATCAGCTGTGTTCCATGAATGCTGCAAGTTATTTGGCATACGAAATACCAGAACAACGTCAGTTCATCCAAAATCTGATGGGATGGTAGAAAAGTACAACTGGATACTTGGACAGGAATTGGCAAAATTGTGTAATAGCCACCAAGATGACTGGGATGTCTTACTCCCTCCACTGTTGATAACATATAGAACAGCAGAGCATGAAGTCACTGGATACACTCCAGCAAAGTTAATATTTGGTCGGGAACTTCGGTAGCCAGTGGATCTGTTAACAGGACGCCCACTTTATAAAGAGTTGCCTGAAAATGTTTCAGAGTTCGTGAAAGTGTTATCGGGAAGGATGAATGATATTTACCATCAAGTGCATTCAAACTTGAAAACGTCTTCAAATTCGATGACGAGGAACCCACTTTGAGACTAACAATGGCTGGAGACGGCTTGAATGGGTAAAGAAGAAAAACTTTAATATAAGTTTAATATAACAGCAAATGTACAACGTTACGACAAGGTTTTGTTATCATCAGGTGCTGATTTGATGAAGCTATGATATGATAAGAAGTCTACTGAAGTCAGCTTTGTACCAGGAGACAATGTGTGGTTGTATAATCCCAGGAAGACCAAAGGGAAGTCTACTAAGTTGTCTTCTCCATGGGAAGGCCCATATGACATAGTGGATCGTCTCTCAGACGTGACTTTCCGAATAAAATGTGGTCGGCGAGGTAAGCCAAAGGTGGTGCATGCCAACAGGCTTTGGCGTTATCACAGTCCAGGACATTTCAGTTGGAAAGAAGTGAACAACGGAACAAAAGACGCTGCTGAAGACGTGTCACCTGAAAAAGCCACTGTCGAAGAAGAAACTGTACTCGGTATTGAAAAGGGAAACAGTGAAGCCCTTGATGAAGTTACTACCATTGATGTGACTATTACCGATAATAGGACATTTCCTGATGGAGCAGATGAACCCCACGTAAAGCAGAAACCAAGAGATGGAGACCAGTACGGAAGAAGATACATCCCTTAAAATTAATAGACTTTGTTGAATTTTAATTTTGTGTTTGTAAATCAAGTTATTGCTAATTTTCTATTGGTTTAATGTAAGTGGCTATTGTTTGGGACGAACAATACTAAGGAAGGGGCAGTGTTACGACAGCGGAAGTCACGTGACCCTAGTAACACGTCATGAGATTCTCGAAGGATCTTGTCTGTTCGTGGCAACTCTAGTATTCTCTACGCGCTCTCTATTCTTGTATATAAGTGCGCCAGATAAAGCGAAATTAATTAATCGGAATTGGATAGCGCAGACAGAGAGATTGAAGATATAAACGGACAATTGAGTCAAGCACGGTAGTAAGTAAAGCGCGTGAATCGTTCGTTGAGAATTATAGCGTGTGTTTTAGTTAAAGTGACTGTGGAAATTAAGTGTATTGCAAAGTTGTATTGAGAAAGAATAAACTAGTTTTATTTAAGAAAGAACTTGTATTGCTGAAGTTCTTCGGAAAGAATTTTTACGAGTAATTAACAAAGACCAGAGACGTAACAATAGGATGCTAAGCAGTGACTAAAAATGACCTTAAAGACAGACGATGGAAAATTATGATAAATGAGCACTTTATGGACTGTAAAAATGTGGCGAGTAATACTGTCCGTCAAGGGTCTGCTTTTGAGTTTCTGTGTTCATCATTTGTGTTAATGAATTTGATAACTTTTTGTGATTTTTTTTTCTAATTTACGGATATTCAAATACTGTGAATAGTTAATTATGTTGAGAATGTTTTCTCTGTCGAACAGAAATCTGACAAGTTTAGTGACTGAGCCAGAACGTAAACAATTAATCCAATATTGAGAAATGTAAAGTTATTCTCTTGTATGTAAATTTGAGAAGAACGTAGAAGTTTGAAATGTTATATCAGATTCTGGTTAGGCATCGTTTGAAGTACTGTGCACAGGAATGATCCTGACAGGTTATAAAAAGTCTGACTTTTAAGAGAATAACTTCAAAGTTTTGGATTTGCTTCCTCTGTAGCGTAGACAAAGCGTTAAAAATGTTAATACACAACCTCCACGTGAGTGGTCTTTTCAAGTGGTGGGGTGAAAAGTGAAAATATCTTCATCCTAAAATAAGACAATACCGTGTGTAGCAGTTAGTGAACAAAAAACAACAACAAAACGGAACAAACTGTCAAAAGTCTTGATATTGGAGAAACTAGTTTCGACACATTCCTGTGCTCTCTGCAGTGTCTCTTCAATGTCAAGATTTCTGACAGTTTGTTCCGTTTATTTTATTTTTTTTGTTTTTCATTTCAAAATATCTTTTTGGATATTAGTGGTCATAAGCATTGACAACTCACATACACATTTTTATTCCACAACTTTGTTTTTCAGTTTAACGAGTAGCTTGATGTGTTGTACCATAATTTGAAATATTTATACTGTTGCGTCAGCGAGGTCACGTGACTAGTATCACGCCACGTTTTCTAGAAATATTCTATTCCTTCAAGAATGCCCTAGCATTTACTAGATATGTGTTAGTCTTGTATATATAAGACGTTCACAACGTGACGGGACAACAAGGTAATGAGTAATTGAACTGCAGTCAGAGAGTGTGTAATTGAACTGAGTATTATTGAATTTGAACACGTGAGAAGTTCGTTGTTATAGCGTTTGTTATAGCGCGACTGTTGAAATTAAGTGTATCGCAAAGTTATATTCAGAAAGAATAAACCAGTTTTATTTAAGAAAGGACTTGTGTCGTTAAAGTTTCGTCGGAACGAATTTACGGAAAATTAACTAACGAACCGAGACGTAACAATACTGTAGGGCAAGGGCGTCCGCAGAAAAAAATTAGGGGGGAGTCAATACCCCTGTTATTACAAATGCCTTATGATTTTCGAATAACATGGAAGAAGAATTTTACATATCTAGTAATTTTATTCTTTTTGAAATCCAGGGGGGTCAAGTGACCCCCTTGCCCCTTCTTGCGGGCGCCCATGATGTATGGAGATTTACCATTTTTATTGGTAAATAAGGGGATCGAAGTGTCGAAAATACCCTTATTACATATTTTCATGTTGTTAGTTTCATCAGATATGTTTACCTTGTATTATTCCAAACATAAATAAAATTAGCCTAGACTATTAGTTGATAAAAATGGAAACACTTTGTAAGAAAACATTTTGACTAAAGTAAAATAATACATAATTAACGCAATTCTCTACTCCAAAATATATGTAGATAGCGCTAAACCTCTGGCGTTGGTTACACACGCCTGATAAATAATATATATACCCTACAGTTTGAGCATGTGTTAAAACAAATGTTTGAGGGCCTCGCATACTTGTTTTTATAGTATTATTATTATTGAGATTTTTTATCACATTATAACCATAATAGGTAAAAAGTAATTAATTTTATTAAAAATTTGTATAAATAAAAATTAAAACAAACGTAGAAAAGACAAAGAACTGAAAACTTGCATTTAACGTTCGTCGAACTTATCAAGTAAGTTAGGGCTCTTTCAATTTTTGCAAACTAATGAAATATTTTTGTTTCATGCATTATATGTAAGAGCAGACATAGCTGAAATTAAGTTGTTTATAGTTGACAGATTAGAACAGAAGATATGGATCATATTGAAGTAGGAAATCAGTGTTGTTCACCCAGAATTGAAGGAATTCAGAAGATCCAGCAGAGTGTTAGAGCCAGAAAGAAGCAAATGGAAGTTTTGTTAGGACTGCTTGGAGAAGAAGATGAAGTTCCTTGTGATTGTATATTTGTGTATGGACATGAAGCGACAGGAAAAAGCTATTTATTGTCTAAAATTTTGGAAGAGTTTGAGGTTCCTTATGCATGGATCAATTGTGTGGAAATATACTCGCAACGTCTGTTGTATGAAGGAATTCTGAGTCAGTTATTCAGCTCCACTTATACTGTTACAACATTACGTTGTGATAATATGTGTGATTTCATAAGAATGTTTAAGCAGGAAGCTCAAGCCATGAACCTTAAAAAAATGTATATAATTCTTGACAATGCAGAGAAACTTCGAAACTTTGAACCAACTCTTTTAGCAGCCCTAATGAGGCTTCAAGAATTAACGAGATTGGACTTGTCAGTAATATTGATATCCGAGATAATTTGGGAAAAGTTTCGTTGTGGGATTGGATTGTGTGAACCACTGCAGCTTCATTTTCCACAATATAACAGAGAGGAAGTCCTTGAGATCCTGAGCTTGGATTGTCCACCAGGTTACAGTGAAGAATTTTACACTGCCTATCTCAGAGTTGTTCTCAGTGTTTTTTATCTGGTAACTCGGAATTTAAGGGAATTAAGGTACTTAGCATTGTTAAATTTTCCAAAATACTGTGAGCCAATCAAGTGTGGAACTGTTAGTGAGAGTGACCAGCATAAGTTGTGGAAGAATATTGAACCTCACTTGAAAGAGGCACTTAATACTGTTTATCTGCGTGAAGTATCAAGTTTTCAGTGGGAAAACTATCACACAAAAGATGCTGTAGGCCCTGCCAAAAAAGTTGGTGATCTAACCCAATCATTCAATAGAGCAGCTGTAGAATTGCCTTTTTATTCAAAATTCTTGCTAATTGCATCCTACCTTGCCTCATATAATCCTGCACGAACAGATAAGAAATTCTTTGTTAAAAATCAAGGAAAGGTAAAGAAAAAAAAGATTAATTTAAGGAAAGATCAACCTAAGAGACATATTTTAGGGCCCAAACCTTTTCCTTTGGATCGGATGATGGCTATTTTTTACTCAATTGTAGAAGAGCAGGTTCCTCCAACATCTATGATATTTTCTCAGATCACAACTCTTGTGACATTACGACTTTTGGCAACAACTTCTAATGAAGAAGAATTGGGTACACCTAAATACAAGTGTTTAGTTGGTTTAGAATTTATCAGAAATGTGTCTCAAACTGTTAAGTTTGACATTCTAAGTTACCTCAATGATTTTATCTGAAGTGTAAAATTCCTATAATGCATCATCCAGTCATTATTGAAATATAAACCATTTGAAAAGTTTTATCTATAATATAAATTTTTCTGTGAAATTTGAAGACTCAAGTTATCTGTAATGTTTCTTTTTGAAAAATCTGTACTCTAAATATGAGATGCATGTAATGTATAACATGATTTGTACATTTGAATAATCTGTATTTAAGATGCAATTTTATCACAAATAATTACTATATTTTAAAATTGTGTAACTATTTTAAAAAGATTGATTATAACAGAATTGGAAAGACATGTTGATTGATGAGCTGATAAAATTGACCATTTTGCTTCATGATCCTTATCTTGATTTTTTTTTAGTGGGAGATCTTACGAAGTATTTAAAATTATCTGCAGAATTGAGCTAAATATTTATAATGCAGTTTTTTAGTTACTACTTTAATTAATGTAATTTTGACTTAATGACCTTGGGTGATCATAACCATTGTTTATGAAATATATCTTAAGTTCATTGTATTTGTCATTGAGTTTTGTACTGTAATGATATTTTTAAGTTAAATGTTTGTTCTTTAAGTATTGTTGCACTTGCCACAGTGTATGCTCAGAAAATCTGCAATAAAAAGTTTTTCATTTAAACCCACATTTCTATGAAGATTTTCACACAAATTATCTGTAAAGGTTTTGTACATAGAATTAGTTTGTAGTCACAACAAGGAAAACATAGCTAATGTAAAAAGTAAAGATTAGAAATGCCTCCAAAATACCTTTTTTTTTTCTTCTGTGGAGAATAATGAAAGCCACAGATTCTTTTTCACATTTTATCAACATCGTTAGAAACTTGAAATATTTAATACAAATCAGAAATGTGATATGAAATTCTTTTGAAATGAAGATGTCTTAAAAATTGATTTTTTGCTAAATACATTGGGCATTTATAATGTTATTGTAAAGGTTTTATATCAAACTGTGATAAGCATAGTTTAAGATTTTCATGAAAAAATACTGCAAATGCCATATTGGAATGTGCCTTACAGTCTGAAGAGTTAAAATTATCTTTAGAACTAGTAGAAAAGTATTTGTTACAAGGAGTTTCTGAAATTTTTTGACAAGTTACTCTTTACAAAAATGCTTTCCTTCAGAGGAGAGTAACACAAGTTATAGTGAGAAATGTGTAAAACTGATGATAATTTCTGATCAGAGTATACTACCCTCTTTAAGCAAAATTAAAATACAACCTAGTAAGGAGTATAGCTAATTAACTATACTTTCTTATGTTCTTACTTATATATATATATATATTTAAAAAAAAAAAATAGAATGCAGTATTTTATCAGTTTGGTACCCTTACTATTAATGGAAATTTTGGCTATACACTCAATAATATCTTACAAGGTTCATCCAGCTGAGGAGACTTAGAGTAGTCCTAAATCTACATATTAAATTAACAGTGGAAAAAAGTTTATAATAAAAGTATAATAATAAAAATTTTACAATTAGATATATTAAAAAATTCTAACAAATACTATTAATGAAAGTAACAACAAAAAACAATAGAGTATACCTTAATTAATGTACAAACACTAACTGTTGGCTTCAGGTGCTGTTGTAGAATATTTCATCATTTAACAGAGCAAAGTTGAAGTGATATAATTCTTAGATGACTGTTTAAAAGAAGATATTGCTTTAATAGGAAAAATAAGACACTAGCATCATCTGAACTGTAGGAAATTGTTCATATGAGCTTGTATTTTTATTATATATATATATATATATATATATATTGTTTCTATGGGGAAACAGTGAAGCTTCAAATTAAATTTAGAATGATTTACCCAACTCTGAAACTGTGATCATCTTATTAAATAATACTTAGTTATTTTGCACAAAAATTATTTTTAAAGATCAGAATAATTTTCATTAAAAGTAATCTATTTCTATAAACCATTATAAACTAACAGGATAAGAAGTTTTAGATATTAAACAAGACTCATTTAGTTTTGTTTTTGGTGAACCTAGAAAAAGTATTGGTGTGTGTGTAAATAGAACCTTAAAAATAAGTGCAAATTTTAGCACAACTTAAGTTTCTATGATATTCAGTATTTTATAATATTCTCAGATTTCTTTGAGTCTGATAAGCTTGTTTGAAGTATGAAGTGATGCAGTGGCTATGAACAAGAGCAGAAATAGACGTTATTGCCCAAGGGAACGATTTTCTTACTTACAACAACTTGTTACTGAATTTCAAGACACAAATTCTGAAGGTAAGGCAGTTTTGATTAGATTTTTCTTTATTGACTAGTTCCAAATTATCTGGAGATAGTTTTTAATCATAAGGTATAAATGTTGGAATAAAAGATGGTTTTTATTTACTCTTAATTCAGATTTTTTGAGTGAATGTTTTAGTGTGTTTTTCAAGTGTGATAAAACTTTCAGGTTTTTGATAACAGACACTATATTTCTTAAAACTGACCTAAGCAGCTTTTAGATATTAGATTGTGTGCAGAACAAAGGTTCCCAAATTTTAATAACTCAAGACCCACCTTAACAGACCAGTGTTCCACTGGGGGAGGAGGTTAGTAAAGTGTTGTGGTGCTGTTATAAGTACATTGGACGACTGAGTTACACTGATTCACGAATATGTGCTTTATATAATATGACCAATGTTTCAATTCATATGTTACACTGATTCACATTTATGTGGTAGAGTGGTTGTTGATATGGAGTCTTGAATGGGTGTTATTCTGTAAGACATGACAAGAAAAACTTGGATAAATAAAAATAAAGAATAAATTGACATGTCTAAATGAAAATTTTTTTAGTTTATTAATGCAATGTTTTGAGCAGATGCTCTTCATCAGGCAATGTAGACTGTTACAATGGAATTAGGCTAGAAAAAACAAAACATCTTGACACGTTAATCTCAGTCACGAGAAATGAGCTACTCAACAAATTAAAATGAGAATGTGTTAAACACCATCTTATCTTCCAACTTAACACTAAGTCCCCTTGTGGTTTAAATGAAATATTTACTTTTAAGTTATTACAAAACTCCATCAATCCTTCCCTTAATTTTCCCCCTTTCTTTTCATCCCCCACTTTTTCTCTAGATGCATTTACCTTACCTTTACAAAAGTCGTCTCCCTCCTCTATTATTATATTGTAGTAAGCTATTATATTATAATTTCATTGTTTGGCGAATAATTTATATTTATGATTTTTATGTATTTTTATTTCTGAATCCAATTTAATTTGCTATAATTACTTTTTTTTATATTCCTGCTAATTTTAATAATGTAGTAATTTCAACGATGTTTTATTAGTACTTTTGTCACTTTCACATTGGATGTGTTTAATTAGAAGTATCATTTTATCTTTTAATAGTTTTTCTCTATCCTGATTTATTAACTTGTAATTTCACCAAGTTGTAATTTATGAGTAAAGGTTTTAATAAGGCAATTAACTATATTATTTTGTGTTTAGATATCCTTTTATTATGAAATAAGGTATTCAAATCTTGATCCAAGGTCCCTATTTTCCAAAGGCTTAATGACTCAGGTTACAAGGTTTCACTTTCACGGTGTTTTTCAGGAGCGTATCCCCCACGTGACTTGGGGTTTGACTATAATTTCAAAATCTAATATGTGTATGTTTCATTATATCTTGTTCTCTGTCCATTACTTCTTTTGATCCACAGTTTGGAAACCACTGCTGTAAAATATTCCAATATTTTTAAATGCTATTGTTTTTAAGAACTGTTCCTTTAATGTCAGAAAGTTTCCAAATTTGGCTATTAATTTGGTGCTTATTTTATTCATGAATAGTTGAAATTATTGATAACTTGTTCATATACATATATTTACTCTTCCTAATTTAATTTTGAGGATGTTGACTGTACTTTAAATATTTTCTTAAGCTGTTAAAGAACAAGTGTTGGCCAATCTTGCAAACTTTGCTTATGATCCCATCAATTTTGAATACATACGTCGACTGAATGTGATTTCACTGTTTTTAGGTAAGTGAAGTTAAAATGTATTTTATTTCAGTAAAGAAATTGTATACCATTGTTGAGTTAATAGCTCATCTTTCCAAGAAATCATCTTTCAAGTTTTATTCCCAAACACTAAACAACTTAGCTAATGGCTAGTAACATAAATGTTGGTTAATTTCCAGAGATAGTATTGATCACAGAAAAGGTTAAGAACCATTGTTTATAATGTGATAACTAATTTTTGTATTGTATTCTTCATATTGTAATCAATGAAATCATTTAAAAACTGTAGAAACTAATACTTATTTTGCTTAAAATTTGGTTCCAGAATGTGATATAACCTATTAACAGCAAGGGACCATTTGGTCCTTCAAGGTTGTCCTTGTACAACAACCTTTTGTAAAAGTAAAAATTTCAACCCACACTTTATTTTTCAGGAAATCATTGATTTCCCTCCTATAAAGTGCTGGCCTCCATGGTAACCGATGGTAACTCATTCCATAAAGTAATCACCTTGTTATAAAAATTAAACTTGTGTCCTTTCGTTCTGTTATCTTCAGAATATATCACAAAGACATTAGATGTCTTTATCCACTGGAGAATGTTGTAAACTTGAATATGATCACCTATTTTCCTTCTTTATTTTCAAGAAAAATTTAAGTTGAGAGGTCTTAACCTATCCTTTTAAGACATTCTTCCTCCCTGAAATCATCCTATTAGCTCTGCTTCTTCAGTAATTCGAAATACTTTCTTAGATAGGGAGATCAAACTGTAGGTAACAAAGCTGACTTTTTTTTTTAGATATTTAAAGCTATAAAATCAAATTATATAACATGGTATTCAAATTTCTTCCATATTGCAAACTACTAATACATTGCAAAGTTTCATGAATTTTGGTGCAGTAACCTTTATTACAAATCTGCAAGTTATTGATAGAAGTTTGAAAAGTTTCCAAGAAAATATTGTTTCTTCACTTCTCATGTTTTTCTTATGTAATTTCCAGAAAAATATATTCACAGGAAAAGTGAGAATATGGTGATGTATTCTGGTGTCTTTAGTTGGTGAATCAAATTACATCAGTATTTATTATATCCTGTTAATGTTAGTCAACTTTACCTTTATAGAAACATTTGTTTTTTAACTACTGTATTTTACAGCATAAATAATTCACAGGCATATATGATGCACCCATATTTTAGCAAAGAATATTTAGGAAAAAATACATTTGAGTGTATCAAAGCATTTAATGTTTACTAAAAATGACATCAAACATAAAATCCACATATGAAGAAAAACTTATCTCAATGAAAATATCATGCATGCAACATATTAAATCAAAGAAAACTTTTCAGTAGAACAGTGAGGTAAAGTTAAAAATAAAACTGTTGTTCTGTAAAAAAAAAGCTTTAATTATCTAAATATCCAGCAAAATCTTCATCACTACTACTTATGGATAGTAAATTTTCACTATCTTCAAGTAATGTATAATCTTCGGATCCTTCTAGGGCTTTACTAATGCCACACTTTTTGAAAGCCTTCACAATTATTTCTGTTTTTATAGCATCCCATGAATTTTTCACCCACTCGCCTACCTGTGAAATGGTGGGACGTTTCACTCTTCCAGTGGGTGTGAGGTCAGGACCTAAGGCCTGCATCCATTTGATCCACTCCTCATTCACGTTGCATATAGGAACTGTAGTAGAAAGTAGTGTTCATGAGAATTCAGAAACACTTAACTGCTTAGCACTGAAGAACCAAGTGAACTGCTCAGCTATACTGATGCTAACTGTCTTGGATTATTATTATATATTATAAATCCACTCATATATTTAGCACCTTTTTTTCATTAATTATAAGCCTAATCATACATTTTTGTATAGATTAATTTTTATATTATATTCTACAGTTGTCCTGGGAAAGACTAGGTAGAATTTAGCTTGTGTGGGCAAAAATGAGAGATGCATTTTCTTTAACTTCACATATTAGATGCAGGTTGATTTTTAGAAGCTTTTTTCAAGAAAAAAGTGTGTATTTTATGGTACAACAAAACTACTTTAATTGCAGTTTGAGAGAACCATTTTGTTACTCCAGATTTCTCATTATGTTAGTGTGTTGTATACATTAAAATATAAATTTGATCTTGGGAATTTGACATTTCTTAGGAGATAATGTTTAATTCAGTATGACGAGAGTTTTGAATATTTTTCACCAGATTATGAAGTTTCTCTAGAAGATAAAGCTAACATCTTCTAATACATGGTAAACAAGGGTGAGATTCTCAACAAAAAATGTGCCGGAACTCGTGTGTAATTTATAATATACTTTACTTAAAAAATAAATAAAATACATATAACAATTTCTAAATAAACAAATACATATTAAATAAGCAACTAAATTGAAAATTTCATTATTGTAAATTTAACTGGGATGTTGTTTTTTTCCTTCCCATTCCATTGAATGACTAAAAGACGTATGCTAATTTTAAGCGGCATCAGCCTATAAAAAAAGCAAACCATTTGGAGATGTTTATTGTTATTGATCAATCTTACAAGTGACACAGCCAGATGAGACTATCTTATTGGTTTGATAATGATTAATATTGAAGCTGCTAAATAACTTCTCTTTTTGATTTTGTTGCCAACAAGGACTAATGTCATCAGATCATTTATTGGTTCATTTAAAGAATATTTAATGATTATTTAAATTCTGAGTCATGACGTGTCTGCTTTCTGAGAGTATAATAGAAGGAAAAGCATGTGGGTTGAATGAAAAGCAGGTAAAATAAGTCCTGGTATTGAGTATCGGTTAGTACTGGTAGAATTTCCCCCCATTATGTTAAGTATTATTAAGGTTTCTAGGTTCTATGTGGACACCACATATTAGCTCCTTACAGCTTAAAGATAATTTAGATGTTCTAAAATAGTACTTTATGAGCTTTTATACAGTTAATAATGATCATATAGACCTTTCATTTTATTTATTGAAGACCAGTTAGACAGCATCAGTGATAAACTGGTGGAGTTTGCAGTTGGAGGCCTGTGTAACCTCGCTCTTGGTGAGTACATGTTAAATCTGTGTTGTTTTTCTTTAAGATTCTATAACTAAATACAATGGCTTTCCAG